TACCTGGAGTCACGCAAAGCTCGTATGATACCAGGACTCCTCATAGGGCAAATAGTCAGGGCAACTTCTGTGCAGGGAGGCCAACTAATTTGGTGTCCACCGCCTTTACACACAAATGCTGGGAAAGCATATTCTTGCAACTTTTAAATTCTGAAATTAAATCGGCAAAGCATCCTACACGTTCTGCAGCATTTCTAAAATTCTACTTACTTCGGACGTGCTTACAAATCTGTTGTCAGTTACAAAAGCATTAACCACCTCGCAGCCCCGTCCTACAGAGAGAGAAATCACTGGGTTTAGGTGAGCCTAACTCTGCAGAGGATCAGGATCTATTACCACAAGGTATAGATAGGAACTCACAGGCTGGGACAGATGATGCTCTGTCTTCTTGGTGCTTGGGGGGGGGGGCAACAGTGGGAGGGCTTCTAGTGTCCTGGCCCCACTGATGGACCTCCTGATGGCACCTGGTATTCTTGGCCACTGTGTGACAGAGTGTTGGACTAGTTTGGCGTAGTGGTTAAGTGCGCGGACTGTAATCTGGGAGAACCGGGTTTGATTCCCCACTCCTCCACTTGCTGGCTGGATGACTTTGGGCAAGCCATAGTTCTGATAAGAGCTGTCCTTGAAAAAGAGCCGTTTCTGTCAGAGCTCTCAGCCCCACCTACCTCACAGGGTGTCTGTTGTGGGGAGGGGAAGGGAAAGGAGATTGCAAGCCTCTCTGAGACTCCTTTGGGTAATGAAGGGCGGGGTATGAATCCAATCTCCTCCTCCTCCTCCCGCTCAATTAAAACGTGGGTAGGAATTAGGCTAGCAGGACACAGCTTGGTCAAGATTAATGCCTCTGTGTATGAAGTGGCCTTGAGAGCCAGGCGTAGGCTGCAGTCCTCACTGAGTGGAATGAAAGCAGATTTAACACATCATTTGACTTCTCTTTCGTTCTAACTAATCTGCCTGATCTGACTCTTTCTGATCTGACTCGGACGCTCACCAGCTTGAACTTCGGTGACTCAGAGCGTCAGGTCTGCCCATCCTCCCTATTCTAGCAACTGGGACTTTAATTAAACCGAAGAGATCGGGGAGGTTTAAGTTCCTCTGATGCATTTCCTCTGCCCCCAGGCAAGCGACTCCCACGTGGCTGCTGAACAGAAAGATTTTCCATCCTAGTTTAACCTTTAAGCCAATTGGGTTGCTGTGTCTTAGAAAAAGGAAGTGCTTTCTGCTGTCCCTTTCGTGGTTCTGAGGAGGTCGCTGTCCAGAGGCACCCAGGAAGGGCAACGCAGGGTTTTGAGGGCAGATGCATCAGTCTTTTCACTGTTGCTCTTTTCCCTGGATGGAGATCAAACTTCTGACCTTGCGTTTTTTTACTGTGCTGTATTTTTCTTCCTTTGGGATGTTGTAGGAGTCCTTGGTTCATACTTTCCCCATTCTGGTAGATATTTCTGGAGTTTACAACTGGAGATCAGTGTTCCCTCTAAGCTGAGTTAGTGCGAGCCAGCTCACAGTTTTTCAGCCTCCAGCTCACAGATTTTTGTCCTAGCTCAGGAAGGAGGATGGCCCCAGAGCAAACTAATTTATGCAGCAGCCAAATCGCTCGCTCACAACTTTAATGCCGGTAGCTCACAGAGTAGAATTTTTGCTCCACAGCTTAGAGGGAGCATTGCTGGAGATGTAAAACTTCTAGATGTTTTGAGGGCATGGGGGAATGAACTTGGTCCCCCTTCCCCCCACCCCCCAAAGTTGAGAAAATTTTGTATACTTCAGTGGGTGGGGTGGGTGTATTTATTTGCAAGTTGACCCTTTTCTTGAGGAATTGATGAACCTGTGTAGGTCTAAAAGTATGCAGTGCAAGAATGTGTCAATGCCAGAGGTTCACAGTAACCGGCTGCGCTTGGTGTGTGAAGTCCTGTGCTGTCATGCGTCTTGAGTAACGAGCCCAACTTAATCGGTTGAGGAAATGTGTCTTGTGTTTTCCTCTCTGTTTTCTGTTGTTGTATAAATATATAATGGTGTTTGGTAACAAATATATAGGTTAACGTGGTGAAAAACAAGCTTTCTATGGTCCTTTCCGCACTTGGATCTCATCCCTGGTTTTATCAGAGATCATCTCGCGACACAATACCTTGCATTTATCCCTGGTTATAACAGCATCTGTTTATCCCGGGACAAGTGTGGGGGGGAAACCAGAGTGACCACGATGTAAAGGGGAAACAAAAAATACCCCAAGATCAGGGGTCATTTCGTAGAAAAAGAGCTAGGGGAACTCATTAGCATAACTCATTAACATATGCCACACCCCCTGACATCACCGGAAGTGTGTCATAAGGCCACACACCCCGCCCCCCAAAGGTCCCGGCCGCCACTGCCGGCCTTGCAGCTCCACTGCCGAGCCCCATGAGGGGCCCGGCGGTGGACCTGCAAGGCCGGCGGGAGTGCAAGGAAGCCCCGCGAATGCCCTCCCTGGCCCCAGGCAGGCAGGGGTGGGGAGAGGCAGGGAGGAAGCAACTTACCCTCCCTCTTCTCCTGCCTCCTCCTGGCTGAATGAGGGCCGGAAGCAGGGGGCGGGGCTTCGTCATGTGCCCCGCCCCCCCATACCTCACCCGGGGGAACTGCGTTCCCCCGCGTTCCCCCCCCCCCGAAATGACCTCTGCCCAAGATAATTACAGGGGTGGACTCAAGTGTAGTATTGAATGTAAGTTCAGGGACAGGGTTGAACCAGGATTTAAGGTCTTGTGTGGAATCACCCCTATATGTGCTTATTCATGAGCTGCCACGTATCCATATTCATTTGGCCCATCTTGTTACAGAATTAACGCCAGGTGAAAGTAACACATCGCCAAAGTCAGTTTCATAGCTCCTTGGTTCAGAACAACCAAAGACTTCAAAATGACAGCGACTCTTTTATGGGGGTCATGCAACGGAGGCAGGATCACTGTGTGTGGAGAATCCACTGGAGTATATTTCTTCCTCCTACGCCAAAGGGTGTTTACTTGAAGTACTTGTTACCCTCTTTTCCTCCCCAGCAGGGAGGTTTCCAAAAAATGCAGTTTAAATGCAGAGGAAAAAGTAAAACAAACGGAAATGAAACCTATGATGAAGATACTGATGCATTTATTTATTTATTAGATTTATATCCCGCGCATTCCACATGGGCTCAGGGTGGCTAACATAAGAGGCAAATGCCATACCTAAAACAATTTAAAACCAACCAATAATCATTACAATTAAAACCGGTGCTCAACAGTAAACTATAACAATTCCAAGATGGGGATTCCGATGATGCGCTCCAGGGAATGCTGACGTCTCTTCTGGTTAGTACTTCACTTGGTCGGTTCTTCCATCCCAGGGCCGGCGCACCTTGTAGAAAATTCCACCAATGACAACATGGTGGTGGTACAGTGGCGGTGGCGGCTCCTCCCCGAAAGCCTGGCGGAAGAGCTCAGTCTTACAGGCCCTGCGGAACTGTACCAGGTCCCGCAGGGCCCTGATCTCTTCCGGGAGCTCATTCCACCAGGTAGGAGCCGCCACCGAAAAAGCCCTGGCCCTGGTAGCAGCATATTTAGCAACCTTTGGGGCTGGGGTAACCAGGAGGTGTTGTGCCCCCGACCGTAGTGCCCTTGGGGGAACATATGGGGAAAGGCGGCCCCTCAGGTAAGCTGGACCCTGGCCACATTTTAATGCAAATAGGTCAGCTTGGAATGGATCCTGTCTAGAATTTCTGCCAGATCACAGAGTGGGGGTTGATCTTTTTAAAAAAAATGCCGTTTCCATAGAAGATCTCCCCCCCCCCATTCCTGGAGCCCCCCAGGAGCAGCATTTCTTGAGTTCTTTGGTGCTGTTGCTTGGCAAGGGGGAGTTAATCGTTTTATACAACCGTTGATAGAGCCATCGAGTCTGTGTGTCTTTCATGCACACTGTATTGTATTGCAATCTCATGCACATTCTGGAAGGCCAAAGGGACTCTGCCTTTTGCGTTCCTGGGGGAATCTTTCAGGAAGCACATCCATTGCCTAGATTGCTACCATCCAAGAAAATGTATTTTATACCTGTGAGGTCTTTGCATCTGGCTAATGCTTTTTAGGCTGGGGAGTTATCCCTTTCCTGTTGTACGCTAAGTTCTGGTGATGTGGCATTTATTGGCATTGCCATCTGAGTCGCATTTCATTAAGTGGACCAATGCCAACACTTGATTGCTCGTGGTTTTTTAAAAAGTGGCCCCGAAAGATGGTGCCACCACAAGAGATCCTCGGACACAAGCGGGAGTCTTCTTTGGGAAGCAAAATGGGCAGCAAAAAATATGATGAGGAAAGAGGGTGATGGACTCAGTATTATTTTGAAATCCACATGGCAGAATGTTTTGACATTGGTCTTTTCTGCCACTTTTGAAGTTCAGTGGATAAACAAATGGAATGTATCTCTGCAAAGGAATCCTGCTTGTAATGTGAATGAGTCATGGTAGCAGCAAGCATGCCATTTGGCTGCCTTTATGAATATTAACGCTTGCCTTTTGAGTGTAACATTTATTGTCTGGCTTAAGAGGGAATCAGAGAAGCATATGGAGCAGAGGTCCATCAGTGGCTATGAGCCACAAGGTACAGATAGGAACTCTCGGTCTGGGGCAAGGGATGCTCTGTCTTCTTGGTGCTTGGGGGGGGGGGGGCAACAGTGGGAGGGCTTCTAGTGTCCTGGCCCCACTGCTGGACCTCCTGGTGGCATCTGGTATTTTTGGCCACTGTGTGACACAGTGTTGGACTGGATGGGCCATTGGCCTGATCCAAAATTTGGCTTCTCTTGCGTTCTTATGTCTGGGGCAGGGATGCTCTGCATTCTTGGTGCTTGTGGGAGGGGCCATAGTGGGAGGGCGTCTGAAGTTCTGGCCCCACTGCTGGACCTCCTGATGGAACCTGGTATTTTTGGCCACTGTGTGACAGAGTGTTGGACTAGATGGGCCATTGGCCTATCCAACACTGGCTTCTCTTATGTTCTTATGTTCTTATGCTCAGTTTTCGACGACGGTGATGAGAGGACGTTAAGACGGACGTCGTTGTGTTTGAAAGGAGAGAGGCACTTTGCGGAAAGTGAGGTAGGGATGGTAACTCTCTAAAATAGTGTTGTTGTTGTTGTCATTTCCAGGACTGGAACAATAGCAAACTCTCTTTTCCCCTCTTCCTCCTCTAGACGCTTGATCAGCTGCCACTAACAAACCCAGAGCACTTTGGAACACCAGTGATTGGGAAGAAATCCAGCAGAGGACGGAGATCCTCTCTTCCCGTGTGAGTGTGACGCCATTTTGTACTCAGTATTACCGGGCGGTTCTCAGACCGAAAAGGCTTCATCCCGTGTTGGGATAAGGCAGGCAGATTTTGCCCCTTGATGTCTCATGGGATGTTTTTCATTTTCAAGAGAAGGTTTTCCGTGGAACATGAAGGGGGGGTGGGGGGCTACTGTGCTACAGTAAATGCCCAGTGGTGTATGGAAGTAGTCACTTGGTTCTTTAGGTCTAGACCAGAGAGATTAGTCCCACCCCAGAAAGCTGGCAGGCTAGGTGCGGCTTCTGTTATGATGATGCTTCAAGATGGAACGGCAGAGCTGGAAAAAGTACAGAGGAGGGCCACCGAGACGATTAGGAGGCTGGAGGACTTTCCCTATGAGAAAAGGATGAAGAGTCTGGGACTTTTCAGTTTGGAAAAGATACTACTAAGGGCGGACACGATAGACGTTTGTAAAATGATGCACGGGGTGGAGAGCTGACAAACAGAAATCTTTCTCCCTCTCCCAAGTCCTAGAGCTCTAGGACATTCAGTGAAGCAGTAGATTCAGGACAGGCAGAAGGAAATTCTTCTTTACACAGAGACTGATTAAAATGTGGAATTCGCTGCCAGAAGATGTAGTGATGGCCAATGTTCCCTCTAAGCTGTGGAGTCTCGTGAGCAAAAATTCTACTTTGTGAGCTACTGGCATTAAAGTTGTGAGCGAGCGATTTGACTGCTGCATAAATTAGTTTGCTCTGGAGCCCCATCCTTCCTGAGCTAGGACAAAAATGTGTGAGCTGGAGGCTAAAAACCTGTGAGCTAGCTCACACTAACTCAGCTTAGAGGGAACACTGGTGATGGCTGCAGGCATAGATGGCTTTAAAGGGGGAATAGATAGATTAATGGAGGATAGGTCTATCAGTGGCTACTAGCTGTGGTGTCTAAGGGGAATCTCCATATTTAGAGGCACCAGACCTCCGGATCCCAGAGCCGGGAGGCAACATCGGGGAAGGCCTCTGCCTCTCTGCCCTGTAGATGGCCCTCCAGAGGAACTGGTTGGCCACAGTGGTCCTTTCCGCACTTGGATCTCATCCCTGGTTTTATCAGCGTTCCAACTCGCCACACAATACCTTGCATTTATCCCTGGTTGTAACAGCATCCGTTTATCCCGGGACAAGTGTGGGGAAAAACCGGGGTGACCTCACTGTAATGTGGAAACAAAAAGTACCCTGAGATAATTACAGGGGTGAACTCGAGTGTAGTATATAGAGTGTAAATTCAGGGGCAGGGCTGAACCAGGATTTAAGGTCTAGTGCGGACAGGATGAGTGTGAGACTAGATGCTGGACCAGATGGACCACTGGTCTGATCCAGCAGGGCTCTTGTTACGTTCCTAACGTAATGTCTTGTGATCGCCTTTGTCAACATTTCCCTGTAACCTGAAGCGAAACTGCTGCACCTCCCTCCTTAAAGAGTGATTTCTTTGTGCAGTTAAAATTCTGAACCGGGAGGCACCATGCTGGAAAGGGAAGAAAGAGGGAGATCTGCAGGATCTGAATTTGAGTTGAGAGCGTAAGGATTGGTAGGAGATGAGGTGGTGCCCCGGTGGTCAAGTCAAGGCAGAGAAGTTCTTTAAAGGCAAAGGCTTTTTGAAACAGAGCCTGAACTTTGATTCCTCTCTAAGCAAGAAGGTGAAGGACGTTTAATTGTCAAGGAGCTGTACTTTGTCATTTATTTTTGGAAATTGAGCCGCAGTCAGTGCTGGGCCTGTGGGAACCAGGTATGCCTAGCTGAGACTGTTGTTGCCAAACCATGTCCTGGAAAGAAGCTTTTGTAGGCGTTTCAGGTCAGCAGTAGCGAATGGTGGTTGCTTGGGTGGGTAGAGAATGAAGAGCCCACGGCCAGTGCTCTCTCTAAGCTGTGGAGTCTTGTGAGCAAAAATTCTACTTTGTGAGCTACTGGCATTAAAGTTGTGAGCAAGCGATTTGGCTACTACATAGATTACCTTATATTTCGGACCAAAAGACGCACCTGACCTTAAGACGCACCTAGTTTTTAAAAGAGGAAAACAGGGGAAAAAATATTCTGAACCTTCGGTCCATAAGACGCACTCACTTTTCCTCCCACTTTTTTTGGAAGAAAAAGTGAGTCTTATGGTCCAAAAAATACGGTAGTTTGCTCTGGAGCCATCTTTCCTGAGCTAAGACAAAAATGTGTGAGCCGGAGGCTAAAAAACTGAGCTAGCTCACACTAACTCAGCTTAGAAGGAACACTGCCCACGGCTCAGTGGTAGAGCGTCTGCTTGGCATGCAGGAGGTCCCAGTTTCAATCCCCGGCATGTCCAGTTAAAAGGACCAGGCGCCGGGTGATGTGAAAGACCTCCGCCTGAGACCCTGGAGAGCTGCTGCTAGTCTGAGTAGACAGTACTGACCTCGATGGACCCAGGGTCTGATTCAGTATATAGGAACTACGAAGGAGCCATGGCTCAGTGGAACAGCATCTGCTTGGCATGCAGAAGGTCCCAGTTTCAATCCCCGGCATTAAAAGGACCAGGCGCCGGGTGATGTGAAAGACCTCCGCCTGAGACCCTGGAGAGCTGCTGCCAGTCTAAGCATACAGTACCAACTCCGATAGACAAAAGGGTCTAATTCCCTGTGAAGCAACTTCATGACTCCACGTCAGTGTTCCCTCTAAGCTGAGTCAGTGTGAGCCAGCTCACAGCTTTTTAGCCTCCGGCTCACCCATTTTTGATCCGCCGCTTGTAACTTTCCCAAAGCTACCCCCACATAGTTCGCAGGTACCAGCTGGGCCTGTGGCCTTGGGAGAAAGGAGTCTTGAGATGTAGCTAGTTAGGTCGTATAATCTCTCATGACCTGTAGTAGCCAGGGAGAATGTGGCGTATGCTTGGTGGGAGGGGCCCAGTCCCCAATTCCCATCCCTGTGCTATTGCTTGTTAGTTCTGGCAAGGGTGTTAAGCTGACCAGAAGCCATATCTTACCAATAAACCTAATCAAGGACTATTGCGTACAGAGCAGTTAATCCGGGGCAGTGTTCCCTCTAAACTGAGTTAGTGTGAGCTAGCTCACAGTCTTTTAGCCCCTGGCTCACACATTGTTGCCTTAGCTCAGGAAGGATGGCCCCAGAGCAAACTCATTCATGCAGTAGCCAAATCGCTGGCTCACAACTTTAATGCCAGTAGCTCACCAAGTAGAATTTTTGCTCACAAGACTCCACAGCTTAGAGGGAGCATTGCTCCACGTCTGTCCATTTTAAATGATCAGATAAATCCATGAATAATTTAGGGGAGCAGCTATGGCCCAGTGGAAGGGCCTCCACTTTGCACGCGGACGATCTCACGTAGGGTCAGGTACAGTGTTCCCTCTAAGTTGAGTTAGTGTGAGCCAGCTCACAGTTTTTTAGCCTCCGGCTCACACATTTTTTTGTCTCGGCTCAGGAAGGCTGGCTCCAGAGCAAACTGATTTATGCCGTAGACAAATCGCCCGCTCACAACTTTAATGCCAGTCGCTCACAGAGTAGAATCTTTGCTCACAGAAGCCCCATAGTTTAGAGGGAGTATTGGTCAGGTAGCGGTTGAAGTGAAATATATCTGCCTGAGACCCTGGATGGCCCCTGCCAGTCTGAGTAGACAATATTGACCTTCCATGGACCAGTGGTCTGATTCAGTATAAAGCAGCCCCGGTGTGTTTACCACATCCTAAGGAACCCCGCAGCCGTGAGGCTCTAATACATGGGACAGTAGTACGAGATCTGAGGGTTGTCGTTTCTAGCCTTGGGAGCTCCTGGCAGCGGCATCCTTCTGACTCGGAAGCATCTAAGCACTTCAGTAGTGGCTTTGTTTGAGCTCCTTCCCCAAGTGTGACAGCCGAAGAGGAACATCTCCTGACGTTTTGAGCCCCAAAGCGCAGTTATGGGCTCTAAGGTGGCATTCTCTCCGACTGTTATCTTCATGCTCAGCCTGCCTAAATCTCTTGTCTGCTTAATCCTCTAGTAACGAAGATGAAAAAGAAGAGGAAAGTAGCGAAGAGGAGGACGACGATAAGAGACGCCTTAATGATGAATTACTTGGCAAGGTTGTCAGCGTGACGTCTAGCCCTGACAAGACAGACTGGTATCCGGCTTTGGTAAGTAAGAAATATTTAGGGCGCTCGTAATGAAGAATGCTCAACACACACAAGAGAAGTTTTCAGAGGGGGGGAGAGTCCTTGGAACTCTGTTGGGGTATAGAATTGGGTGTGGCGTAGCTTTGAGTTTCCTTTAAAAGTTGTTTTTTTTAAAAAAAAAACCCTCTTAGCCAGTGTTCCCTCTAAGCGGAGTTAGCGTGAGCCAGCTCACAGTTTTTTTAGCCTCCGGCTCACACATTTTTGCCTTAGCTCAGGAAGGACGGCTCCATAGCAATCTAATTTAGGCAGGAGCCAAATCGCCCGCTCACGACTTTAATGCCAGTAGCTCACAAAGGAGAATTTTTGCTCACAAGACTCCACAGCTTAGAGGCAGCACTGCTCCCAGCAGTCTTTCAAGTTCTTTGAAAAAGAGAAAAATAAATATTGAGTATTGGAAGAGAAAGATGCTTCTACCTGCTCCTTTAGGGAAATAAAGTTTTATTTTTTAATGTCGTGTTCCTGGTATGAAATGGCTTTTTTTTAAAAAAAAAAAAAGTATACCGCAGACACCTACAGTGGTCAGTTTGGTTTTTTTCAACTTTAGAACAAGATGAATCATTTACAGTATGCTGCAGATTTGCTTTGTGGAAGTCCTAAACAGTTAGACAAGACTGCCAGGGTGTGGGCTGTTTCAGATTCATGAGTCCTTTGCAGGGGTCGTTTCGTAGAAAAAGAGCTAGGGGAACTAATTAGAATAACTCATTAGCATATGCCACACCCCCTGACATCAGGGGCCCGGCGGTGGACCTGCAAGGCCGGCGGGAGCGTGAGGAAGCCCCGCGAGGGCCCTCCCTGGCCCCAGGCAGGCAGGGGTGGGGAGAGGCGGGGAGGAAGCAACTTACCCTCCCTCTTCTCCTGCCTCCTCCTGGCTGAATGAGGGCCGGAAGCGGGGCGGCCAGAAGCAGGGGGCGGGGCTTCGTCATGTGCCCCGCCCCCCGCACCTCACCCGGGGGAACTGCGATCCCCCCCAAAATGACCTCTGGTCCTTTGAATGAATCACTAGGTTTGAGCCCAGCAGCACCTTAGCGGCCAACAAGATCTTCAGGGTACAAGCTTTCAAGAGTCGAGGCTCCCTTCGTCAGGAGCTGTTCCCCTGCAGACCAAAACTGCTACCTTCTGAGACGACTTCTGGATGAATGCTTATTGTTTATTTGTTTGGCGCTTTTGGTATTGTCTATTTTGCAGCTTTGTTTGCGGCCATTACAAGCTACCCAGAAGGTTGTTTTTAGAACAAAAATCCAAGAGAGCCAGTTTGGTGTAGTGGCTAAGTGCGAGGACTCTAATCTGGGAGGAACCGGGTTTGATTCCCCACTCCTCCACTTGCACCTGCTGGATGACCTTGGGCAAGCCGTAGTTCTGACAAGAGCTGTCCTTGAAAAAGAGCATTTTCTCTCAGAGCTCTCTCAGCCCCAGTCTGTTGTGGGGAGGGGAAGAGAAAGGAGTCTGTAAGCCGCTCTGAGACTCCAAGTGAAGGGCAGGGTATAAATCCAATCTCCTCCTCTTCCTCCTCCTCCTTCTATATATTAATTTGGGAGGGGGCATGGCTCAGTGGTAGAGCCTCTGCTTGGCTTGCAGAAGGTCCCAGGTTCAATCCCCAGGCACCTCCAGTTAAAAGACCAGGCAGTAGATGATTTGAAAGACCTCAGCCTGAGACCCTGGAGAGTTGCTGATGCAAAAGACCTCGGTCTCAGACCCTGGAGAGCCGCTGCCTCTGTCTGAGTAGACAGTGCTGACTTTGATGGAACAAAGATCTGATGGAACAAAGATCTGAGGCAGCTTCGTGCATTCATGTGTTCAATATTAGTTGTTTAACGTCTGAGACACCTTATTACAACTAAGCAGAAATGCTCAAGGGCATGATCTGAAACCTACAGATGCACTGCCATGCAGTGTTCCCTCTAAGCTGAGTTAGTGTGAGCTAGCTCACAATTTTTTAACCTCCAGCTCACACATTTTTGTCTTAGCTCAGGAAGGATGGATCCGGAGCAAACTAATTTATGCAGTAGCTGAATCGCTTGCTCACAACTTTAGTATTTTATACTGTTTTATTGTTATAATCTGGCGTTATGCCTCTGTTAGCCGCCCTGAGCCTTCAGGGAGGGCGGGATATAAATCCAAATAAATAAATAAATAAATAATGCCAGTCGCTCACAACGTAGAATTCTTGCTGACAAGACTCCACAGCTTAGAGGGAACATTGCTGCCATGTGTCTTTGGTATTGTACAACTATATCTGCTGAGGCATGAGAGTGAATTGTGCAAGTTCGTTTATCTCCGTGTTCATGTGTAAGCATCCTAAGCAAGAGCATTCCCTTGAAGACTGTCTATGCAAAGCTACTCCAGTGTAAGCCCATTGGTTTCCATTTAAACCAGGTTTTTTTGCCCTGACCTAGATAGCCCAGGCTAGCCCGATCTGGTCAGATCTTGGAAGCGAAGCAGGGTCGACTCTGGCAAGTACTCGGATGGGAGACCTCCTTGGAATACCAACAGTCGGGAGGGCAGGGGCAGGCTTTATTCAGCCTCCTCTCTTGATATCCTCCAGGCCCTCCAGGAGGGGTCAGTCACCAGAGGTCACGATCAGTGTTCCCTCTAAGCTGAGTTAGTGTGGGCTAGCTCACAGTTTTTTAGCCTCCGGCTCACAGATTTTTGTCTTAGCTCAGGAAGGATGGTTCCAGAGCAAAGTAATTTATACAGTAGCCAAATTGCCTGCTCACAACCTTAATGCCAGGAGCTCACAAAGTAGAATTTTTGCTCACAAGACTCCACAGCTTAGAGGGAACATTGGTCACGATGACTTCCAGGTGTGTGCGCGCGCACACACACACACACAGTAAAAAATACCACCACCACCACCCCCGGTTTTTTTAACGGGACATTAAATATAACTGAAACTTTAAAAAAAAAGGAAACTGTTGGGTTTAAAATCCATTTTTAAAGTAGGTTTTTTTATCCATACTGGGGACTCCCTTCCGTGTGCTCTCACTGCAATCTTTGAGGCTCCCTGAGTGTCCCCAGATGCTGTCTGTGTATCAGCTTTAAAGGCACCTATTTTCGGGTTGCCCATTACCCATCCCCTTCACCTCCACCCACCCACCCCAGTTATGGAACTTCCCCCAGTGCAGAATTTCAGAGGTCCAAGCCTGAGAAACTTCAGTAGGTGTTGCAAGACCATCGGTCTGGACTAGCCTCTGAGGGCTCGGGGTGGCTAGAAAAGAGTTCTTCTTGCTTGTTTTTTTTTTTTTTTTTAATTTATTTCTGCAATACAAATGGGTTCTGTATCTGAAGCAGCCTTTGCTTCTGGATTTGCTGGATTTCCTCTTGGCCCGTGTAAAAAGCCCTTGTGTGTGTGTGTGTCTGTCTTGGGCTTTTCTCTGCATCCGAGATGTCACCTGCCGTTCTGATGGGAGGGGGGGCTCAGTTTGTTGTTTGAGTGAATCTGCCTTACACTGAATCAGACCCTTGGACTGTCCGTCAAGGTCACTATTGTCTACTCGGGCTGGCAGCGGCTCTCCAGAGTTTTCTTATCCCCTACTGACTTGTCCTTTTTAACTGGAGGTGCCAGGGATTGAACCTATGAACATAAGAACATAAGAGAAGCCAATGCTGGATCAGGCCAAAGGCCCATCCAGTCCAACACTGTATCACACAGTGGCCAGAAATACCAGGTGCCATCAGGAGGTCCATCAGTGGGGCCAGGACATTAGAAGCCCTCCCACTGTTGACCCCCCCCCTCCCAGGCACCAAGAAGTCACAGCATCACTTGCCCCAGAGCCCCTATCTATACCTTGTAGCTAATAGCCACTGGTGGACCTCTGCTCCCCTGGAACCTTTTGCTTGCCAAGCACGTGCTCTACCACTGAGCCATGGCTCCTCTGAGCTGGGCGTGGAGCTCGCTGTGAACCCCGTTGGACCGGGGGTAGGCAGGTAACCGTGAGGGTTGTTACATTGCAAGTAACCCCAGCAGTTCCTTGAGATTCTTTCTCTGCTGTGAAGTCCCGTTCCCCCCCCGCCCCGTTAAATTGTCCTCGGTGGTAGAATGAACGGGAAAGGGGGAGGAGCTTTGGGTGTGGTTAGGAGGCGCAGATTAATAGGTTCAAGATATTGTGCCATATGAAAGGAAGGCAGCTGTGTTTAGCAACTCCCACTTAAATCTTCCGATTCCCTTTTTTTCCTGTATGCGACTCCCATTCTGTGACTCTCAGCGTAACATTACAGCGTCAACATCGTGGGCTGGGTGCTGTGTAAACTTTCTACATGGAGGAGGTATTCTGTCCCCAGGGGTCCCAGATATCCCCTGACATGGGGAGCCTCAGAGGTAACATGGGGGCTGCTGCAAAAGGGGTGGATTGCCCTCCTCTTGTATGTGTGGATCTTCACAATGGGATTCAACCCCGTGCGATGTGGGCACACACCTGTCGTTCAATGCTGGCAAAAAAAAAAAACAACGGGCGAAAAGTTGATCGTAAGAATCCTGCTTTAGAGCTGTTGAACACAGTAGGTTCTGATCGTTTTGTCCTGCTCATCGAACTTTTTAACGTCTGTTCACTTTCGAGTCCGAGATGCAGATAGCAAAGCTTGCAAAGTTTGATGTTCTTAAACTTTGGGCACATTTCAGCTTGGAAACACTTGCAAACAAATCACTATGTAATTTAATGGCTGTTCTTTTTGTAATATGATTTTAGGTGTGGGTGCAAAGTGTTGGCATTGGCAAGGGACTTTCATGATGGAAATGTTCTCGATTCCTTTGTATTTGCAGGAGTAAACATGATACATTAAGAACTTAACGGCCATGTTGGGATGTCCTTACAAAAGCAAGCCTTGTCCAGTGTTCCCTCTAAGCCGAGTTAGTGTGAGCTAGCTCTGTTTTTTTAGCCTCCGGCTCACACATTTTTGTCTCCGCTCAGGAAGGAGGGCACCAGAGCAAGCTGATTTATGCAGTAGCCAAATCGCTCGCTCACAACTTCAGTGCCAGTCGCTCGCCGAGTAGAATTTTTGCTCACAAGACTCCACAGCTTAGAGGGAGCCTTGGTTGGGACTCTCCAGGCGCTCACACTTCCTCCTACTCTACGCAGAGCTCGGCTATCAAGGCCTTCCTGATTCCCAACAAATTACAGCTTAGGCTTGCCAAGTCCCCCCAGGGGGCGGGGAAACCCCCGCCCCAAGAGGCCCGTTCCCCGCCGGCGGCGGATTGGGCCCCGGGGGGAACTCCACCCCGGCGTGCGCGTCACCAGGAAGTGACATTATGACGCCGGGCACGCTGGGGGCGGGGCCACGGTCATCCGAGGGACCGTGGCCCCGCCCCCAGCGTGCCCGGCATCATAACATCACTTCCTGGTGACGTGCGTGCGGCGCGCATGCGCTTCAGCCACGGACCAGGAGTCCCCTGGTCCGCAGGTTTTTCCACTTGGCAACCCTATTACAGCTCGTCATTGCATTTAATTGGAAGTCACACCAGAATGGGTTCTTTGGGGGGAGCTAGGATGTGTGTGATATCTAAGCTGCATGGAAAGAGTAGTGTGCAAGCTGAAGGACTTTCAAGCTTGTCCCTGGAACAACAAGCCGAGGCTCGCTTTGCTGCTGAATAGAACCTGTCTTGCTGGGTCAGGCCGTTTTAACCCTTGGTTCTGTTTTCCAGTGACTGACCAATGTCATCTGTTTCTTCATGGGCAGGGTGTAGAAGACGGTGGCAGTGGTCTCTCAATACAAACACAATATATACCATGAGATGGCAACCAATATAAACAGACTCTTCTTTGAAGAAGAGACCGATTTGAAACAGGAGCAGTATACCATAGAAATATTACCAAAGTCTTTCATTCATGTAGTCTTTACGTGTGAGGATTCTTTGATTAAAAGAAACGGGCTGAAAGTAAACCGGGACCCCGTCAGAATCTTTCACGAGCTGTGCTGAGCAAAAGTATACGCTGCAAAATCTTTCACAAAGTTGTATGGAACAAGAGTACATGCTGTTGTTTGTTGTTATTGGTTATTGTAAGAAATAGACGATGTTGTAATTTGTTGTATTGATACAAACAACAAGGATCATATAAGTTTCATTGAGCACCTGTGTATTTATTCATAAGTAACTTTAAAGAAGGGTCTGTCTAATTTGGTTGCCATCTCATGGTACGTATTGTGTTAACCGTCCATGAGCCTGTAATTTGAAGTGGTAGGGGTCTCTCGCCAGCACCAGGGGTTCAGGGAGCCTCTGCCTTTCTACATGGAGCTTCCATTTAGCGGTCTCAGCTGACGAATATTAACACCCCTCCCCTACTTTCATAACATATCTGACTCTTTTAAACCAGTGGCCCCCCCCCCAAAACTTTTTGAACCTGCGGGCACCTCTGGAATTCTGACACAGGGTGATAGGCACCACCACAAAGCGGGCGCTAGAGGAGATGGAGCCAGCCACAAAATGGCCGCTGCAGCTTACCCTCCGCCACACAATGAAGGTCTCTGTGCTGTGTTGGCAGCTGCTGTCAAAGCAACATTTTTAAAGACCTGCACAGCCAATCAAATCTCCAATGACCAATCAGAAGCCTCACAGGGACAAAGCCCCCATCCAGCCCCACCCACTTTCTAAAAAGATTTGGCGAGCGCCGGGAAAGGTGTCAGCAGGTGACACGGCCATATAGGGGAGCCCCATTTTAAACCAACTAAAAATGGGACCGTCACCATATTTTATGGAAATGAGTTCCATACGTTCCTGATTGTGTGAACAATTACTTCTTGTGCCTCTGTTAATCTGCTAATTGAATTTTACTGGCTGTCCCTGAGCTCTGGTGTTATTATTGTATGAGAGGGAGAGGATTTTTTGTCCCTTTGCACAGCCCTTCATTTTCTGCCTCGAAGTTGGTTGTTTTCCTATAGAGAATTTACTGGCTGCTTGCTCTAAAAGACAGAAGCACTTGTTGTGAACGTTAATTTCTTCAAGTTGGGAACAAAAGAACAAATCCTCAGTGTGATGTTTTGAAATTTCAGGTCTTATCCCCCAGCTGCAGCGATGAGATAGCGGTGAAGAAGGACCAGTGTTTAGTCCGGTCTTTTGCAGATTCCAAATTGTGAGTAAAAAAGAAAGGTCTTGGCCTTCCATCCTGGCCATTTCCGAGTTTTGGGGTGGGTTGCAAAGATGCCGAAGAATCAACTAATTTCACTAACAAAATGAAGATAAAAACCATATTATTAAATTCCTATTAAGTCTTTTAGATCCGGTTTCAAAAACGGTAAAGTTCTCTAAACGTGTTCACGCAGCCCAGATTAGTGCAGGGGGTGGCATCCTGGTCAGATTGAAGAGGTCACGCTTGGATTTAGTAGGATGCTGCCTCTTAAGATAATCTCAGAGGCAGGCATACTGTATAAACTTGCCCTGACCTGGCTAGCCCTATCTTGTCAGGTCTTGGAAGCCAGGCGGGATCACGCGTGGTCATTAATTGGATGGAAGACCAAGGAAGGTTGCCATGCAGAAGCAGGCAGTGGCAAACCACCTCTGATCGTGTCTTGCCTTGTGAACCCTATGTGCTCACCTCAAGTTGGCCGCCGCTCGTTGACACTTTCCTCCACCACCAAGCATAAACTTATTGGAAAACTTTGGTTATTGAGGACAGGGATCAACTGCACCTTAAGGTTTCTTGGAGAGAATTTTCAGACACGGTTAGTCGCTTCAACAGCAGAAAACTTACAGCCAGTATTTACTACCATGGATATAGGCCCAAATGCAGGGGGGAGGGAAGTTGAAGTGATGTACAGAGTGTAAGTTAAACTTACCACTTGATTACAATATTTAGTTTCCTCTCCTTAAAGATGGAATTTGGTAGTGGGGAGAGACTCTTAAACTTTCTAAAAGCATTCTCCCTTTGCTCCCAGCCTCTCATTCAGAGTCGCCTCCCGCTGAAATGACCTAGCCAAAGATCTCTAGTAGGGATGGGCACAAAACTCATCACAAACCCAATTTCATGACAAACATTGCCAGTTTGTGGTTCCCGAACTGGACGTTTGTGCCCATCCCTGTCCACAACTCTCCATGTGATTTTGGAGGTTCATGCGATTCATGGTGGGAAGCGGGGAGAGGGGGAGAGGGATCGCAGAAATGGCTTGCCACCAGCAAAAAGGAGGGAAGGGAAGTTCTCAGATCTTTCCCTCGAACTTCATTAACTGGGAAGGTTCATGGAAGTTTGTGGTTCATGAGATCCCATGAACCTCCACAAACCTCCATTTTCCTGGTTCATGCCCATCCCTAGTCTTTTAGACTCACCAAGATATTAGAAGATATTTCTCACGTGCATCACTTTTTCTCTCCTTCCGCTTGTCTTATTTTTCTTTTTAAAAAATCACTAGGCCCTACCGTTTTTGTCAAAATTGTATTATGACTGGCTTATCTTCATATTTGTCCCTTTGCAGTCGGTCACTTTTTTTCAATGAGTCTCCCATAAAGCGAAGATGGGTGCGACTTCCTGGGCTGAGCGCTTGAAATCTGCCTCTCCCTATCTTGAGAGTTGAAAGGAACTCAGGGATGAAATACACTGAAGTATTCTCTTAAAAGAGACCCAGCGTGGTGTAGCAGTTAAGATCCAGGTTTGAGTCTTCACTCATGCCATAGAGGATTGCTGGGTAGGTTTGCCATCCCCCCCCCCCCCCCCGGGTGGGGTTGCCAGCTTTAGGGCCCCTCGACCTGCCAGCCTGGATCTGACCGGCAGGGGAACCCTGCCCCCAAAGTACAGGGATTGCGGCAACGTGCCTAGTGCAATGTCGTCACCCAAAGGTGACATCATGCCGGACACGTCTCTGGGGGACGCTCTAGTACAGGGGTGGCCAAACTCACTTAACGTAAGAGCCACATAGAATAAACGTCAGATGTTTGAGAGCCGCAAGACATGAACCAACATTACACGTCTTTACTGGGAAATATGCAAATTTCCTTTTTATTAACATTAAATGAGACTGCCAAAAATAATAACCGAAAGGGGTAAAAGCAGATATTGATAATGATATTTATTTGTCCAATGATAATTTGTTTGCTGATGATATTTAGCTTCCCCAGCCGCCCTGCGGGAGGCGACTCTGAATGAGAGGCTGGGAGCAAAGGGAGAATGCTTTTAGAAAGTTTAAGAGTCTCTCCCCACTACCAAATTCCATCTTTAAGGAGAGGAAACTATGTGTGAAAGAGCCACATGCGGCTCCGGAGCCAAAGTTTGGCCACCCTTGCTCTGGCACTCTGCCTGAAAACTCTATGGTACCATAGAGTTTTTGGCTGAATTCTAGACCCACCCACCCCCCGGCGATGTGCCCAGTGCAGTGATATCACTTCCGGGTGGTGACGTCATTGTGGCACACGTGCTGGGAGATCCTGGCAAAGAGGCTCCCTCTCCCCGCTGGCAGCAGGTCAGGACCTGTCAACCCTATTGCTGGGTGACCTTGGGCCAGTCACACCCTCTCAGCCCGACTCCCTCACAGGGTTGCTGTGAGGATAAAATGGAGGAGAGGAGAATGATACTCAAGTCCCCATTGGGGAGAATGGTGGGGGTTTAAGTGAAATAAACACATAGGAGAGGCACGTGATCGAGGTGTCTGAAAACTCCGGATTGTTTTCAGTGATCACCCCTCTGCCTTCCGACGAGTCAGCCGGTTAAATTGTGCACGCTGGCAAAAACTTTGTGAGATGGGTGTCAAAACAAGTTGCTGCCCAGTTCATGCAAGGTAATGCTGAGTGTCAGAGAAGCCATCGTTTTCATTTTCCGCCACACGAAACCTAAGATAACCTCTGGGAAACAGTGGCTCGAATCCCAAGCGTGGACCTCGCCTTACGCCCCTTCTTGCTGGAGCTCCCTGCACCATGTGGGAAGCTGTTCCCGAGGGACCAGCAGAGGCCCCAGGAATGGCATTGGAAACTTTGTGGAAGACTGCTTTGGGAAACGGCAGTCTTCCTTGCGAAAAGGGATTCCCTTTTGGTTGAGAGACTAGATGCCTTAACGTGCGATACCACGAATGAACAAACTAAATTTGGCCGACTTACGCTGCCTTGGTTTTTTTAAAGCCCGTAGGGCCTAATACGCACCCCTGCAATTTATTCATCAGGGAGCGTCCGTGTCCTTGCATATGCAAACTGTGCAGGAATGTGGTTCATAATATTTCATATCTGGCAGAAATACTGGATTTGGCTTGTATCGGAATCTCTTCTCTTCACGAAATTTGCACTGAGATAACGTAAAAATGTACTTCCAATGTTTCAGGGGGTTTCGAGTGCAGATTGGTTTACTGTGCCGCTCTCGTTGTGACTAATCTGCCCTTGCAGAGTGTTTGCTGTTTCCCCGCTTTGCAGACTGGGAAATCTGGCTGAGAGCCACTGACTTGTCCAGATGCATTCAGCTGAGCGAGGATCTGAACTCAGCCACCAGTGCCCCTGGCTCTTGTAGAATCATAAAATCATAGAGTCACAGAGTTGGAGGGGGCCATAGAGACCATCTAGTCCAACCCCCTGCCCAATGCGGGATCAGTCTAGAGTAGGGGCGGCCAGACTTGCTTAACATAAGAGCCACACAGAGTAAATGTCAGATGTTTGCGAGCCTCAAGACATGAACAAATATCGCACACGTTTTTATTGGGAAATATGCAGATTTGCTTGTCGTTAACATTAAACGAGACTGCTAAAAATAAAAACAAAAGGGGGTAAAAACAGATATCGAGAATGATATTTATTTGTCCAATGATATTTATTTGTTTGCTAATGATATTTATGTGTCTGAGGTGGAAAGAAAGAATGAAAGAGGTGGAAAGAAAGAGAACGAGAAACAAAGAAAGCAAATAGATGGGGAAGGGGAGGGGAAGGGATGAAGGAAGAGAGACAGAACGAAAGAGAGAGAGCAAATAGATGAGGAGCCTCCCGGGAGCTGCACAATATGTGTAAAAGAGCCGCATGTGGCTCCTGAGCCACAGTTCGGCCACCCCTGGTCTATAGCATCCCTGACAAGTGTCTGTCCAGCTGTTGCTGAAAGACTGCCAGGGAGGGGGAGCTCACCACCTCCCCAGGCAGCTGATTCCACTGTGGCACAACTCTGACTGTCAAAATGTTCTTCCTGTTATCCAGTTGGTGCCCTTAATTTAAACCCATCCTTGCTAGTCCTCTCCTCTGCTGCCAACAGGAACAGCTCCCTGCCCTCCTCTAAGGGACAGCCCTTCAGATACTTCAAGAGAGCCATCCTGTCCCCCCCTCAACCTCCTCTTCTCCAGGCTAAACATACCCAAATCCCCCAGCCTTTCCTCATAGGGCTCGATCTCCACTTTTGGCCTAACACTTTTGCACAAAGACAGCTAAAAAGTGGAAATCAAAAGCCGAAATCCAGTTGCACTTGTGCAGTTGGGTGCCACGACTCCCATCATACCCGCTTGTGGTTTTAAATGATGCTTAAAATACTTAGTCTTTAATTATTACGGCTGTGCAGGAAGAAGGTGCTTGCAGGCAGTGGCTCCCCCCCCCCCCCCCCCCTCCCACTCTCCGCTTCCTGCAGTCCGTCAAAAGGGCTCTACCGGTGTTGCAGTACAGGCTTCTATGGCCGGGGGGGGGGGAGGGGGCCTCGCAGTGAGGATAGGGAGTTGGGCAAAATTTCCCCCGCCTCAGTCTCATGCCAGTGTTGGCCCTGGTGGAGAGACAGCAATGGCGCAAGAATTTGGGTGTGAGAACTTGAGGGAAGGGCCCTCTCCTTGTTTTGGCCCTTTGTACCCTAGTGACCACGGGGATGCTGCGGGAAGGTGGGGATGAGGAAACATCCTTCACCTCAAGGATTTGCTTACACACCAATGGGATCGAACCCTTTAAATTTGCACGGTACTTTGGGCTGTGGGCGATTCAAGTTTGCAACGTTTTTAACTCTGCTTAATTTAAACATCGAAATAGTTGGTGGGGGGTTAAGAATGGGATTTGCCACTGGCTGCATGCATTCGTCACCATCAAAGCAACTGTTTTTGTTTTGTTTTTATATAATGGAGGACTCCGTGGAAAGATATTTGGCGCACTAAAAAGCCGGCCAAGTTATAAACTTATTAAAACAATTCTCTTTCAGCTATTCGGTAGCAAGAAAGGACATTGAGGAATTAGACATCCTGAACATTACAAAATCCGAGCTGTCTTCTGCAAAAGGTAAACGCCAACGATTATCCTTTTGATGACTAAGGAACGAATGAGTTGCGCAGGGTAGTAGCTTGTGTTGTCGCTTCAACGGAAGACATGATACGTGATAATAGATGTGACATTGCCATCATTATATCGCCTGTATAATAACAGGACTGGCAGTTCAGCCCTAAGAATTAGGATAATTAATTTCCAGGAGACTTGCTCCAAGCAGCTGTGGTTTGGATTACAGTTACAACATCTTGAGCCCAAGTGCCGTTAATCTCATTGATTTCAGCGCAGGTTTTTAATTGGTTCTCGTGTGGTTCTGTTCCCTGGCCGGAGGGCACGACCATCTAGCTTCGTCTCTTCTAATCTGGGAGAACTGGGTTTGACCCCCCACCTCCTCCACTTGCAGCTGCTGGATGACCTTGGGCAAGCCATCATTCTGTCAGAGCTGTTCTCTCAAGGACAGTTCTGGAAAGAGCTCTCTCTCAGCCCCACCTGCCTCACAGGGTGTCTGTGGTGGGGAGGGGAAGGGAAAGGAGTTTGTAAGCCGCTCTGAGACTCCTTCAGGTAGTGAAGGGCGGGGTATAAATCCAATCTCTTCTTCTTCTTCTTCTGCCTCACAGGGTGCCTGTTGTGGAGAGGAGAAGGGAAAGGAGATTGTAAGCCACTCTGAGACTCCTTTGGGTAGTGAAGGGTGGGGTATAGATCCAATCTCTTCTTCTTCTTCTTCTACCTCACAGGGTGCCTGTTGTGGGGAGGGGAAGGGAAAGGAGATTGTAAGCCACTCTGAGACTCCTTTGGGTAGTGAAGGGTGGGGTATAGATCCAATCTCTTCTTCTTCTTCTTCTACCTCACAGGGTGCCTGTTGTGGAGAGGAGAAGGGAAAGGAGATTGTAAGCCACTCTGAGACTCCTTTGGGTAGTGAAGGGCGGGGTATAAATCCAATCTCTTCTTCTTCTTCTTCTACCTCACAGGGTGTCTGTTGTGGGGAGGGGAAGGGGAAGGAGTTGGTAAGCCGCTCTGAGACTCCTTTGGGTAGTGAAGGGCGGGGTATAAATCCAATCTCTTCTCTTCTTCTAGTTCGGATTTTTGGCTTCAGTGTGCATCAGTTTGCACTTGAACACATTGATGCCCACTCGCCCAGCCTCTGAGACTCCGAGAGAAGGGTGGGGTATAAATCCATTCTCTTCTTCTTCTTCTAATGTAGAGCTTAGAGCTTGCAAGCTGAGGAAACATGTTCCAGAGATCAAGCCTAGACACAGTGCAGGGGGGAGAGTGCCTCTTCTCCAGGCAGCTCTAAGGTCTCTGTGGACTAAGTATAGATTAGATAAAACGCGACTCAGAAAACAGCATCAGCCACTTTTTCACGGGGGGGGGGGGGGGATTTTAGAGGAAGATTTGGATTTGCAGTGGAGAAGCCTACTTCTTCTCCGCTCTGGCTCTTAAGCATTGAGCTCTGCCTTGGGTCAAAGGAAGGATAGAAGTATTTTAAAATAAAATGCGATTCCTTTCCCCCTTTGCTGACTGTCCACTGGAATTCGCCTCCAAGCCACTTTTTCCTCTGCCGGATTCGAGATCCAGGTTGTGCATGCAGCAGAAAACAGGCATGTGGAATGCCGGTTTTTGGGGGGAGGGGGTTTGCAGCTGAAGCACTGCATGTGGAAAAGATTAAGTACCCTTAATAACACAAGTAGAGCCCTGCTGGATCAGACCAGGGTCCATCTAGTCCTGTATCCTGTCTCACACAGTGGCCCACCAGGTCCTCTGGAGGGCCAGCAACAGGGCACAGAGGCCGAGGCCTTCATAAAAACAACGGAAGAGCCCTGCTGGATCAGACCACTGAGGATCCATCTAGTCCAGCCTCCCATCTCACACAGTGGCCAGCCAGTTCCTCTGGAGGGCCAACAACAGGGCACAGAGGCCAAAGCCTTCATAAAAACATTGGAAAAGCCCTGCTGGATCAGACCACTGGTCCATCTAGTCCAGCCTCCCAGTGAACAAGTGCATTTCAGGGATTTGGTTACGCAAGTGCAACACAGTCCTTGCTCAATCTAGAGAAACACCTGCCTTGACATAACATGTGTGAGCAGGGTACGTAGATCTATAAACGCCAGGGTACCAATAAAACAAAGGTGTTCCTATTGAGAGCACAGGTGGCCATTGTGCAGCTCAGGTGCTATAAGCAGCGAGAGTCTGTGGCATACTTAGGCACGCAGAAGGTCCCCAGTTCAATCCCTGGCATCTTCAGTTAAAGGAGCAGGCACTAGGTGATGTGAAAGGCCTCAACCTGAGACCTCGGAGAGCCTCTGCCAATCTGAGTAGACAAGACTGACCCTGATGGACCGGGGGGTCTGAATCCGTGTAAGGCAGCTTCCTGTGTTCATGTGTGTGTCTGCCCCCGCCTACCCGTGTTGTCTGCTCCCTAGCTCAGTAGACTGGAAGCAGAACCACAAAGCGCAGCCGCGCTTCCAAAATTACCTAGTTGCCGCTATCGCACAAGGAGGGGCATCTTGGAACGGGTGGGAAGGAAGTCACAGCAACACAGTCCTCCTCGAAGAGGATTTGTTCATTCCCTCGACAAGCCTGAGGCAGTTGCCTGCTTGTCATCTAGATTGACGCACTCGAGGTTTTCAGCGTCAGAAGTATTATACTCTTAGGATAAAGAATGTGTATGAAGGGATGTTGATCTACGTTTACTTGCAGCTGCGTGTGAGTACTTCAGAAGTAATGCTGGCCACTAGCAATCGAAGCCGTTTGAAAGCACGGAATTGCAAGCAGATAAACAGGTGCCGCTCGGGTGGGAAGGTGACAGCGTTCCATGCGCCTCAGTGTTTCGTCATGCCGGCCACATGACCACGGAAATGTCTTTGGACAGCACTGGCTCTTCGGCTTGGAAACGGAGATGAGCACCGTCCCCTAGAGTCGGATTCGACTGGCTTTCGAGCAAGGGAAACCTTTACCTTTTACCTTTGCTGCTGTCAGGCTCCTTAGGTCACACCACACAGGGCTTCATAAGAAGATAACTGTTTATTAGTGGATCCAGTACTAAAGAACACGTGTACAGCTTGTGTCAGGAATGACTGTCAGTACTAGGGCCTCTGACTTAAAATGAAATCAAACATTCCCCCTGGAAGCATGAACCAATGGATATATTTCACGTGCGCAGCAAAGCAAGCGAGCATAGCAGAAAAGCCGTTAACACTCCCAGCCGTGTAAACTGCAGCTGGAACTTCTACAAGGTCAAGCATAAGATAGCACACAGAAGCTGAGCAGGAGAGAGCTGAGAACGAGAAGGAGGGTACCCCTCCACATTCCAGATCTATGACAGGGCTACCTGACGACTGGTTGTGGTGCATTTGACATCACGGTCGCCAAACTTGGCAAGTGCAAACTTTCCTCTGAAATCTCTGGGTTTCTCTTAAATTAAAAGTCTTCTAGAGGGCTGATGTGCGTCTAAGCTTCTCCTTATGCTGGAATCAGTCATTTGGCATTCTCAAGATCACTTAAAGTGTAACAAAAATAATGAAGAATTTTGTGGCACTTGTTAATACATTATTAATTTTCTGGTCCCGCTGGTGAACCTCCTGATGGCACCTGGGTTTTGGCTGCTGTGTGACACAGAGTGTTAGACTAGACGGGCCCTTGGCCTGATCCAACATGGCTTCTCTTATGTTCTTATGGCAGGATGAGAATTTGGAATAAGAGTCTGTTTGTTCCAGTGACAGCGAAAAGGTTACTTCACCTTTCAATTATAAGTGGGGCAAAAATGCCACATGCTGTGCGGTTCCAAACTTTTTTTAGTGGGTGGAAAGTGTTAGAACATCAGTTTGCAATTTGGAAGTCTCTAGAATCCCTGTTAAAAGCAGTTCAAATATTGAGGTCTTTGCCTGAGACCTTGGACAATAGGCAGGGCTATTTTGGAGCAGGAACGCACAGGAACGGAGTTCCGGCTGGCTTCCAAGTTGGCCACGCCCAGCAGGAACTCATTAGCATAACAGGCCACACCTAACAGCAGAAACTCATTAGGATTGGCTACATTAGGGGTGTGTGGCCTAACATGCAAAGGAGTTCCTGCAACAAAAAAGGCCCTGGGTTTTGACAACAAACAAGGTAAACAGCATAAGAAGGGTAAGGTGGGTGTGGCTGGATGACCACACTTCTGGTAACATGGGGGTGCGGCCTAGTATGCTAATGAGTTCCTGCTGTTGGGTGTGGCCTATTATGCTAATGAGTTCCTGCTGGGCTTTTCCTACAAAAAAAGCCCTGACAATAGGCAATACTGACTCTGTACAATTCAACTGCACTAACCCTAATAGCCCAGACTAGCTTGTTCTTGTTAGAATCCAGACACCAAGTACTTGGCTGGGAAACTACCAAGGAAGACCGGGACTGTTATGCAGAGGAAGGCAATGGCAAACCCACCTTTGCTCATGCCGAATGTTCCCTCTAGTCTATTTCCCCTTCTGAGCAGAGCAGTTCACATCCAGAGCAGAATATAACTGCTGTAATCTTCAAATGGACAATGGGGCAGTGCAAGACGCGGCGTGGCTCCAGATTGCTGCTGAGCGGGGCTTCCTGTGTTAATGAGCAACCGCTCACGCACACAGCTTAGAGGGAACACTACTCTTGCCTTGAAAATCCCATGAGGTGGAACTCTGCGGAGTCTCCATGAGTTGGTTACGGCTCGACAGCATACTTTAGGTCAGGGCTATTTTGGGGCAGGAACGCACAGGAACGGAGTTCCGGCTGGCTCCCGAGTTGGCCACACCCAGCAGGAACTCATTAGCATAACAGGCCACACCCAGCAGCAGGAACTCATTAGGATTGGCTGCATTAGGGGTGTGTGGCCTAACATGCAAAGGAGTTCCTTCTACAAAAAAAGCCCTGGGTTTTGACAACAAACAAGGTAAACAGAATAAGAAGCAAAATGTGGGTGTGGCTGGATGAGCACACTTCTGGTAACACAGGGGTGTGGCCTCATATGCTAATGAGCGGTGCAATCAGGGATGTGGCCTAATAGGCTAATGAGTTTCTGCTGTTGGGTGTGGCCTATTACGCTAATGAGTTCCTGCTGGGCTTTTTTTGTAGAAAAAGTCCAGCAGGAACTCATTTGCATAATGAAAGGTTTTTATAACTCCATCTCATATAATCTGGAGATTATTCCTTTACATTGTTTGGTGTTGTGGTTAAGTGCATGGACTCTAATCTGGGAGAACCGGGTTTGATTCCCCGCTCCTCCACTTGCACCTGGCTGGATGACTTTGGCCAAGCCATAGTTCTGGCAAAGCTGTTCTTTCAAGGATAGTTTTCTCAGAGCTCTCTCAGCCCCACCCACCTCACAGGGTGTCTGTTGTGGGGAGGGGGAAGGGAAAAGGAGTTTGTAAGCTGCTCTGAGACTCCGAGTGAAGGGCGGGGTATAAATCCAATCTCCTCTTCTTCTTGTTCCATGTATTATTCTCATCTGGGATTGTGAAGGCATTCCCAAAAGCAAACATTACCGCACAGGATTTTTTGCTATGCTTTTCTCCATCCCATGTAAATAACAGAGGACTGAGATACATTGAGGCTTAAATATACCATATTATAAGAACTGGACAATTAACAAACGTAGAATGACAATTTCAGGCTGTCTGTGACCGTGAGAAAAGGAGCCAGTTATTGGTACATAATTCTGTATTCATTAGATACAAAATAATAAATTTAAGAATGCCTCTTTAGTGTGGTTAAAACCCCGGGCATTACTCTTTCCGCCCATTTCTGGACAGCCCTGCATTGAACTTGGCAGACTTAATTTGAAACGTAGACTGGTTGAACGAGATGGCCAGGCTAGCCCTAATCGGTAATGATGCAGTTTTGATTCTCAGTACCTTGAGTTGAGTAAGCACGGGCCCCGTTTTCCTCCGAAGGGTTGCAAGCAGCAAGCTCCTTCTTCAGCCTGAAAGTCATACCCGCCAACTGGAAGATGGACATGCGCGAGATCTTGGAATCATCCAGCAGCGACGAAGAGGAGGGAGGCGAGGCGGGGAGCGACGAAGAGAAAGACAAGGCGGAGCATAAAGAGGAAGAGGCGGTGGTGAGTGTGTGGCTTTTTGTTGCTTGAACGAGCGTGTGACTCAGTGAGCACGTGACACGCTCCAACATCCTGTCTGCTTGCAAACATTTTTTGCACGCCACCTTAAGTAACTACTGAAGGATCACTAGCACTTCATGATTTTGTGATCCGTTTGAATTCTTTTAACTTTGATTTTCTGTGTTTTATTGGTGCTTCTGTACCAACTGTGTAAGCCGCCCTGAGCCCGCTTGCAGGGAGGTTCGCGCGGTACCAATTGAATATATAAATAAATATAAATAGTGGTGTTCCACACTTGCGAAATAGGGTTGCCAACTTTGGATGGGGAAACCCTTGGAGAGTTGGGGGTGGACCCTGGGGGAGGGCAGGGGTTGGGGGGGAGACCTCAGCAGGGTGTAATGCTGTAGACTCCCGCTTCTGAAGCAGCCACTTTCTCCATGGGAACCAGTTCTCCCTCTAAGTCGTGCAGTCTTGTGAGCAAAAACTCTACTTTGTGAGCTTCTGGCATTGAAGTTGTGAGCAAGCAGTTTGGCTACTGCATCAATGAGGTTGCTCTGGAGCCATCCTTCCTGAGCTAAGACAAAAATGTGTGAGCTGGAGGCTAAAAAATGGTGAGCTAGCTCACACGAACTCGGCTTAGAGGGAACACTGAATTGGGAACTGGCCTCTGTAGTCTAGGAATCAGTTGTAATTCTGCGGGTCTTCAGGTCCGCCTAGGGGGTCGGCAACATGACGGTAGAAATCATTTTCAGAGACTCTTACTGCTTGGTCCTACGGATACCGACTTGTGGATAAGTTCTAGACTGATCGGTGGGGCTTGCTTCCAGGTCAACGGGCATGGGGTTGCGGTTTTATTGGAGGATGCTGAATTAAAAACTGCCATCCATCGAGTGGGTAATAACGCAATCCACTGGCTGAGTGAGGAAAAACTTTCGTTCGTGTCTCTGGTTTGTTGAAGATGATGGCGCCCTCTGATTTCTGTGGTTGGTTGCAGGAAGCCATCCTCTAACAGGACGATGGTGGCATTTATCTGTGCTTCTCCGTCAGTGCCACCCACTAACCTTTCAGGGGGTCAGGGGGAAGATTCTTCTTCTTCCCCACGTGGGCAAAACAGCAACCGCCAATGCTTGGTGACCATATGGACAACAGTGAGGTCGGTGGGAGGAATCAAGAAAGGTTCGTTTCCTGGTCTTTTCCCTGTCTCCCCTGCCTGCTGCTTGACAAATAAAGATTTCTGCTGGATCAGGTTAAGACTAGCATCTCCCTCTGCACATTGGCCACCCCAGTGTCCCAGGGAAGGCTATAAGCAGGGCACGAAGGTGATAACCACGCCTCTTCAGAGCTGTTCTCTCACGGTCAGTTCTTGAAAGAGCTCTCTCAGCCCCACCTACCTCACAGGGTGTCTGTTGTGGGGAGGGGAAGGGAAAGGAGTTTGTAAGCTGCTCGGAGACGCCTTTGGGGTAGTGAAGGGTGGGGTATAAATCCAATCTCTTCCTTCTCCTCCTCCACCTTTCCTTCTTCCACTTCCTCTTTCTCTTCTTCGCTGTTGCCACCCAGCAACTGGTATTCAGTGGCATGACATCACTGAAGATGATTGTTTAAACCCTGACCAACAAATGTTTGCAAGGAGGAGAGCAATTTGTCTGCTTCATGTGAGCCTTTCGATTGAATCGATTTTGCTAGTTATTCAATAGCATACAGGTTACGTTACAACAGTTCAATTTTTAATAAATGTTTGCCTTGATAGTTTATAGTTTTTTTTTAAAAAAAACAACTCCACAAGGAGATGATAGATCAAGACTTCTTCAAAAACTTACATCTTGGAATGTGCAGCACTGCAGCCTGGTTGATGCTGCAAGGGCTGATTCGGTTGGTTTGCTCTGCTCCTGGGTCCCAGGTGTGTTCTTCTTGCTGATGTCCTCTGTTGTATTATTGTGTGTGCCTCTGATACGGAACCAGGGATGGGTTCATCAAACTGCAGGGTTTTGTAAAAAAAAGAAGAAGTAAAAATGGCAACTCCACAACGGCAAGGAGTTGTGGTGAGGTGAGATCCAGAACATGAATACACTGTGTCGTCCAAATGCAACAACTATACGTGCAGAGTCCTGAGGTGATTGGGAGATTTGCCCAGGGGTCATTTCGTAGAAAAAGAGCTAGGGGGACTCATTAGCATAACTCATTAGCATATGCCACACCCCCTGACATCACCGGAAGTGTGTCCTCCTCACAGCCGGCGGCGACCTCCAGCGGGCACCAGCAGGGAGCTCCAGGCCCCGCCCTCCCGCACCTCACCCGGGGGGGATGGCGTCCCCCCCCAAATGACCCCGACCCCTGGATTTGCTGGGTATTTTGAAGGTCTGTATGCTTGCAGTGGCTTTTAAGTGGATCCCTTTTCATCCCGTAGCATTGATGGAGTTAGTGGCTGCACAAGCTCACAGCTGTACTTCATAAAGATGCCATAACTAAGATACAGAGTAAATTCATACCAGCTCAAAATATTTGCACAATCAGATTGTAATGCCATCATTCAAAAAATTGAAGGGAGAGTTTTCCTCCCGCTAGTCTTTCAATAGGGAGGCCCAAGCGTGTATTCCGTAGAGATGTAAAATTTCCGGAAATTTTGAAGCTCGGGAAAAAACCCAGGTTTTTTTCGGGAAAAAATGGAAATTTTCGGAAAAATTGAAAAAATGCTACATTAGCATTTCTTTTGTCTTTTCTAGATTGAAAGTCATTCTTTTACTTTAGGAACATAAAATATGACTATGGACATTTTTACTTGGCATGAAATTATCACAACTAGCATATTAAAAATATAGTGTATCCAAACAATTATTACAAACAGAATACCCACCCACAATCAATCTGATACCATATATATATATATATATATGGTATCAGATTGATATATATTTATTAGAAATGATTTGGAAAATATTTGAACACCTTGTCTTAAAATATTTTATTCATCATGTTAAAATAAAACATTCCATAATCAATTTTTTTTTCTTTTCTTTTTTCAATTTTTCCAATTTTTCGGAAAAAAACAAAAAGGCTTCAGGAAAAAAACGGGAAAAAACTGGGTTTTTTCCAAATTTTTCCGGTTTTTTCCCGGGCCTTCACATCTCTAGTATTCCTTAAACTAACTTTGCTTTCCTTTACATTACATAGCTATTATTGACATAATTACCTGTCTCAGCCTTCTGCTTGAAGTTACAGGAAGCCAGACAGTTGTGTGTTTCTGTCAGTGCTCTCTACAGGAATCAAGGAACCGAACTCCAGAGTATACTGGAGTATGCTGAAGCAGTGTTGAATTCTCTTTCTCTTAATGGAAAAGAAGGGTATACATTTTTAAAATACATACAAACTCTCATGTCCTTGACTCCCACCCCCCCTTCTGCTCCCAAGAAGGCCAGGATCTTTCTCACCCCCCAAAAGCTGCTTGGACATTTCAGTTTCAGAAGACGCTTTAAAAGAAAATTTGTTCTGCTAATTTTTTCCCGAAGATGCATATGTTTTCTTATGGCACTTACTTTTTGCTGTTTCACAGATTTTCTATCGTAGGTTTAGCAGGATCCATGGGGGGGAAATGAATTGGGATGTTATGCAGGACGCTTCTTCCTCACCTTTCGCCTGTGGTGGACACAGAGCAAATTGAGGTTCCTGGTAGCGGTCACTCCTGTCTTGTTTAGCGAGCTTAGGAAGATAAGGGAAGGGCAATGCCGAAATTGGGAAAGAAGTATAGGAATTTTGTTAAGCAGATCTTTCAGCTGCTTCAGGTGATATAATGCTTTGAGCCTTCAAAAACAAAAAAAAAACCAGTGATACCCTTCTTGCATATTTGCCCAAACTCTGGGTAGAGGAAGGTTAAACAGACATTGTGGGTATTTCTGAAACTTGGTGGGATGAGGAAAATCAGTGGGACACAGTGATTCCCGGTTATATATTATATCGGAAGGATAGGGGGGGAAGGGTTGGAGGTGGGGTAGCTCTGTATGTCAGAGAGGGTATAAAGTCTAGAAAGATTGAGAGGCTAAGTGAATTGGATTCGCTTCTGGAAGTTCTATGGGTTGAAATAGGGGGGCCAAAAGGAAACTTAACACTGGGAGTTTGTTATCGCCCACCAGATCAAAAGATAGAGGAGGATTATAAAATGATGAATGCCTTAAAGATAGCAACTAGACAAAAGCACTGTGTAATAATAGGTGATTTTAACTACCCACACATTGATTGGGTCAATATGTGTTCTAGCCGGGAAAAAGAGATTGAGTTTCTAGACACTCTAAATGACTGTGCTATGGAGCAGATGGTCACGGAACCTACCAGGGGAGAGGCGATCCTTGATTTGGTCCTAAGTAACACTCAAGACCTGGTGAGAGATGTAAAAGTGATTGCACCGCTTGGAAACAGTGATCATAATGTTGTTGAGTTCATCATTTGTACAAATAGAGAATTGGCCAAAAAGACTCACACAACCATTTTTAACTTTAAAAGGGGTAATTTCTCTGATATGAGGGGACACGTGGGGAGGAAACTGAAAGGAAAAGTAGAAAGGGTCAAAACAATTGGGGAAGCTTGGGATCTATTTAAAACTACGATCCTAGAAGCTCAAAAAATATATATTCCGCAGGTTAGGAAAGGCACAAACAGGTATAGGAAAAAGCCTGCATGGTTAACAAACAGAGTAATGGAGGCTGTAAAAAGTAAAAAGAATTCCTTTAAGCAGTGGAAAGCTAGTCACAGTGAGGCTGATAAAACGGAACACAGGCTATGGCAAATAAAATGCAAGTCTGAGGTCAGGCAGGCAAAAAGGGAATATGAGGAGCATATAGCAAAAAACGTAAAAACCAACAATAAAACTTTCTTCAAATACATTAGAAACAGGAAACCAGCCAGGGAGGCAGTGGGGCCCTTGGACGACCAAGGGGTAAAAGGAGTATTGAAGGATGATAGGGAAATGGCTGAGAAGCTAAATGCATTTTTTGCCTCCGTCTTCACTGTGGAAG